GAGAAAACAAAGCAACAAAGTTCAACCCAACAGAATGAACAGAAACCTGCCCCACCTATCAGCTGTCTCAGTAAATGTGAATGGGCTTAAACTCTCCACTCAAGAGACATAGGCTGGCTGAATGGATAAGAAAATACAGGCCAAGTATCTGCTGCCTTCAGGAAACACATCTAACCTGCAAGGATGCATATAGACTAAAAGTAAAAGGGTAGAGATCAATATTCCAAGCAAGTGGAAGCCCAAAGAAGGATTGCTTGAGCCCAGGAGTTTGAGGTTGCTGTGAGCTAGGCTGATGCCACGGCACTCACTGTAGCCTGGGCAACAAAGCGACACTCTGTCTCAAAAAAAAAAATGAAAATGAAAATAATCCATCATGACTAAGTGGGCTTCATCCCAGAGATGCAAGGATGGTTCAACATATGCAAATCTATAAATATAATTCACCACAGAAACAGAAGCAAAAGCAAAGACCATATGATCCTTTCAATAGATGCAGAAAAATCATTTGACAAAATTCAACACCCTTTTATGATAAGAATGCTCAACAAAATAGGCATAGATGGGGCTTACCTAAAAATGATACAAGGCATATATGACAGACCCACAGCCAACATCATACTTAATGGGGAAAAATTGAAAGCATTCCCACTTAGAACTGGAGCAAGACAAGGTTGCTCACTATCTCCACTTCTATTCAACATAGTGCTGGAAGTCCTGGCTATAGCAATCAGACAAGAGAGTGGAATTAAAGGCATCCAAATGGGGACAGAAGAGATCAAACTCTCACTCTTTGCCGATGATATGATATTATGTTTAGAAAACCCCAGGGATTCAACTAAGAGACTCCTGGAATTGATAAATGAATTTAGTAAAGTCTCAGGATACAAAATCAATATACACAAATCAGAGGCATTAATATATGCCAATAACAGTCAAATTGAGAACCAAATCAAATACTCAGTACCCTTCACAATAGCAACAAAGAAAATAAAGTACCTAGCAATATATTTAACTAAGGAAGTAAAAGACCTCTACTGGGAGAACTATGAAACACTAAGGAAGGAAACAACAGAGGACATAAACAGGTGGAAAACCATACCATGCTCATGGGTTGGCAGAAATCAACATTGTTAAAATGTCTATACTACCCAAAGTGATCTACAGATTCAATACAATCCCTATTAAAATACCAACATCATTTTTCACAGATATAGGAAAAATAATTTTACACTTCATATGGAACCAGAGAAGACCTTGTATAGTAAAAGCAATTCTAGGCAATAAAACAAAATGGGAGGTATGGATTTGCCAGATTTCAAACTATAGTACTAGGCTATAGTAATTAAATCATCTTGACACTGGCACAAGAATAGGGATATTGACCAGTGGAACAGAACTGAGAACCCAGATATAAAAAAATCCTCATATAGCCATCTAATCTTTGACAATCAGACAAAAACATACAGTGGGGAAAATAATCCTTATTCAATAAATGGTGCTGGGAAAACTGGATAGCCACATGTAGAAGACTGAAGCAGGATCCACACCTTTCACCTCTCACAAAAATCAACTCAACTTAGACTTAAACCTAAGGCGTGAAACTATTAGAATTAGAAAAACGTTGGAAATACTCTTCTAGACATTGGCCTAAGCAAAGAATTTATGAAGAAGACCCCAAGGGCAATCACATAAACAACTAAAATAAATAAATGGGACCTGATCAAACTAAAAAGCTTCTGCACAGCCAAAGAAACTGTCATGAGACAAACTGACAACCTACAGAATGGGAGAAAATTTTCACATGCTACATATCCAATAAGGGGCTGATAACTAGAATCTATTTAGAACTCAGGAAAATCAGTGAGAAAAAATCAAACAACCCTATCAAAAAGTAGGCTAAGGACATGAACAGAAACTTTTCAGAAGAAGACAGAATAATGGCCAACAAACATGAAAAAATGCTCAACATCTCTAATCATCAGGGAAATGCAAATCAAAACCACAGTGAGATATCACTTAACTCCAGTGAGAATGGCCTTTATCAAAAAGTCCCCAAACAATAAATGTTGGCCTGGATACAGAGAGATGGGAACACTCCTACACTGCTGGTGGGACTGCAAACTACTTCAACCTCTATGGAAAGCAATATGGAGATACCTCAAAGTGATACAAGCAGATCTACCATTTGATCCAGCAATTCCACTACTGGGCATCTACCCAGAAGATCAAAAGCCACTTTATGAAAAAGACACCTGCACTTGAATAAACGTTTATAGCAGCACAATTCACAATTGCAAATTTGTGGAAACAACCCAAGTGCCCATCAATTCATGAGTGGATTAATAAAATATGGTATATGTATACCATGGAGTACTATTCAGCTCTAAGAAACAATGGTGATATAGCATATCCTGTATTTTCCTGGATAGAGCTGGAACCCATTCTACTAAGTGAAATATCTCCAGAATGAAAAAACAAGTACCACATGTACTCACCAACAATTGGTATTAACGGATCAACACCTCAGTGAACATACAGGAATAACATTTATCGGGTGTTGGGCAGGTGGGAGGGGAGAGGAGGGGATGGGTATATACAAACACAATGAGTGAGATATGCAACGTTTGGAGGATGGTCCCCCCTTTGACTCGAGGGGGGAGGGGAGGCATGGGCAATAAAGTCCCCAAACAATAAATATTGGTGTAGATGTGGAGAGATAGGAACATTCCTACATTGCTGGTGGGACTGGATACTAATTCAACCTCTGTGGAAAGCAATATGGAGATACCTTAAAGCGATACAAGTAGATCTCGTAATCTAGTAATCTAGTAATTTGATCTAGTAATCCCATTACTGGGCATTTACCCAAAAGAACAAAAGACACTCTGTAAAAAGACATCTGCACTTTAATGTTTATAGCAGCACAATTCACAATTGCAAAGATGTGGAAACAACCTAAGTGCCCATCAATACATCAGTGGATTAATAAAATGTGGTATATGTATACCATGGAGTACTATTCAGCTATAAGAAACAATGATATAGCACTTCTTGTATTTTCCTGGGTAGAGCTGGAACCCATTCTCCTAAGTGAAGTATCCCAAGAATGGAAAAATAAGCACCACATGTACTTACGAGCAAATTGGGTTCACTGATCGACACCTAAGTGTAGTGTTATATAGGAATAACATTTATTGGACATCATGTGGATGGGAGGTGGGAGGAGGGGACGGGTATCTACATATGTAATGAGTGAGATGCGCATTGTCAGAGCTTGAGGCTCTGACTCGAGGTGGAGGGCAAGGGCAATATACTTAACCTTAACATTTGTACACCCATAATATGCTGAAATAAAGAAAAAATGACTAATATAACAAAAAAACTAATAATTTTTTAAAACTAAGATAACTTCAGAGTACCAGAACAGAAATGGACAGGGAAGTTCCTGTTCTTAACAGAGTAGTCAGAGAAGGCCTCTTCGAGGTAGAGGCATTTGAGCAGAGACTTGGAAGTTGTACTAGAGCTAGAAAGCCACTGTGTTGTTGGGTGTTTTCATTGTTGTTGTTATTTTTGGTTTTTTGTTTTTGTTTTTGTTTTTTGAGATAGAGTCTCACTCTATTGCCCAAGGTAGAGTACAGTGGCATCATCATAGCTCACTATAACCTCAAACTCCTGCGCTCTGCGATCTTTCTGCCTCAGCCTCCCAAGTAGCTGAGACTAGGCACTGGTCACCACACTTGGCCAATTTTATTTTTTTGTAGATACTGGGTCCCACTATGTTACTCAGGTTTGTCTTAAACTTCTGGCCTCAACCAATCCTCTCACCTCAGCCTCCCAAAGTGCTGGGATTGTAGGTGTGAGCTACCACGCCTGGCCTCAAATTGGTTTTGAGGCATATGTTCTTTGTGACATATGAGTTGGAGCTAGCAGGAGGCCTTTTGTTGTGACCTCTAATGTATTCAGTATAGACTTAGGCTATTCTGAGGATGCTTGAGGTGCTAAAGCCCTGTCCCTGTTCTTATTTCTGACATAGAGCTGGGAGTTTGGGATCCCACTATGCAGGGAGCTGGCATGTCAGTATGAGAGCCTCTACGATTATCAGAGCCTCAGCTGGATTCGGGTAAGCTTTGCCCCTTCCCCTGTCCCATCCCTGACTAGAGGAGCCAGGACTTTGCTGGCATCAGTTTCTAATTGAGCATTTACTATGGACCTAGCCCTTGGTTTAGTGCTGTGGACAGTACAGAAGAATCAGAAACCAAGATTCCTATCCTTGAGATACTTGCAGTCTGACTAGGGAACCAAAACACACACCTGACAAATAATTGTATGATGTGGACTCCAAAGGCCACTGATGCTCAGGAAAGGGAGAACCTAGCATAGGCATAATAGAACGGGGAGTTCATGGAGGAAGTGGAAACTCAACTTCATGAAGAAGCTTTTTTGAAATGATTTTGTGTAAGGATACTACATCTAAAAAACTTTATAAAAGCTCTCCTCACTTTGGCTTGTGGTCACTAGCATCTTGTCCTTCTTAAATTTTGAATATTTTACTTCAAAGAAAGGAACAAGGACAAGGTACTTAAATGCTCCATAGACTTTGAAGGTCTGCATCAAATTTTTCCTGGTTGTTGATGCTGGGTTCTGAATTATAACATGTGCTGATTTCTTTAGCAAACAGAGGTTAACAGTCTTAGCACACCCTCGTCCTTGTGGCTAACTTTCCTCTGTTCCCTGATCACGACAGGGGTTTGGGCATCTTCCTCTAGCAATAGCTTCTTGACTGGTTTTGAAGGCCACTATTCCCTGGCAGGCTGGCTTGATTGAATTCATTACAGCTATCTTCCCACTCAAAGTTTCAGTGAGTTTTTTTCTAAATGTGAAGCCAAAACTAAAAGTTCAGCCCAAACTAAAAAACTTACCAACTTTGGTAATGCTAAATAAACATCATGGATATTAGTTAATTTTTTAAGTTTAAAAGTCTCCTAAATTGGAACCAGTACCAGTAGTGCTGGCATCTGAGCTTTCCTCACGATGGTTGTTAGCATCTTTAGTCAGACAATAGATGAACAAGAGCAGGTGCAGTTGAACTGATGCAAAATGGTTCTGAGACTTGCTGGTAGCCAGCTACAAGCAACCCTAGTCAGGGGTCAGCCAGTGGAGTCAGTATCAGTCAAAACCAGAAATCCCTAGGCAGAAAAAGTCCATGTTAAATGTGTGCCCCCCAAGTGCAGGAAGGCCAGATCTCAGTGGAGCTTAGTCCACTCTCTGGGAAGAACATTCAGAGCAGCCACACAGGGCTGGGTGGGCAGGCTGGTCCCCATCCCACTGTCAGACAGCGATGATGGAGGGCTTTCTCTTCCATGATGCAGCTCCCAGGAGAGAAGCTGGTCATGGCCAGGGGCTCACTTCCATCTTACCTAGATTCAGTTGCCGTGATCCCTTTCCAGAAGACACTGTCCAGTAGGCTCTGGGAGAACTTGCTTTGGACACCAACAGCAGTGAAGCTAACCTGAAGGCCTTTCTCATTCATAGAAAATGGAGGCCAGCTACTATGACAACATTATGGAGCAGCAACGCCTGGAACCTGAGTTCTTTCGAGTTGGCTTCTATGGCAGAAAGTTTCCTTTCTTCCTTCGGGTGAGTCCATTCAGGTAGTCAAAAAAAAAAAAAACATATTTTGTTTTACACATAATTCACTTAAAATCTATACTCTTTTTTTCCTTTTTGCCTATTCTACTGAATACTTGTTTTCTAAGGACTGAGCAGTCAACAAAAGACATTTGACTTTATTTTACTGGACTGGCTACCAACTTCAGACTGTTTTAGACTACTGTATTATTCTGTGGCTACTAGGAATGTGTAAGGGTGACTTTCTTACCAAATCAACTGAGTCTCTTCAGGAAGTGACCAGGGCCTAGAAATGTCCCATAGGAACCTTCCAACTTCTGTTTCCAGTGCCTAGAACCTCCACTGTGCCTCTTCTTATCCAGATAGGGCCCTGGCATAGCGCTGACCTCAATAGTAGGCTGGCCTCTTGGGATTTGTCCTCTAAGATGGTAGTTTTTGTCTCCTGGCCACACTGTAGCTTATGCAGCCCGGATGGAGAACTTTTGGTTTTGGAGAACCTGGACGACACTTCATATAGTTCCTGGGGCCCTGAAAGAGCTGCCAAGCAGTGGGTTTGGCTGCAGAAAGCCCCTTTGAGGCCAATTCTGTGACCTGGGATGACAACAGCCATTTCTGTCCACTATTTTCTGGAAGGCTGGGCTGGAATATAAACATTGTGGAAGGAATGACTGAGCACAGGCCTGCTTAAGCAGTTGTGATTTTTTTACTTATTTAGCACAATGCAGAGGCTCCAGGAACAGTCGGCCTGCACCTGTAGATTATATCCCACAGAGATTTGTTGTTCTCAGCTGACCTACATGAAGCGGTCCTGATGAATGGGCCCTGGAACAGTTGAGACCTGAGATTAGCTCTGATTGCCTCCAGTTCCAATATCTTACTAAAATTTAATGTCTGTAAGTCTCAGCAAGTACCTAGGAACATTCATGGAATCCCTTTGATATGTTTGGGATCCCATCTTACTGAAGAAATTTATTTAGCCAGTGAGCAATAACAAGTTTGGTATCACATGATAGGTCAACCAGGCTTAATGGATCCTCTAAAAAATTCCAATCTGCTAGCAGGAGGGTTAGGCCTACCCATTTCAGATGTAAAACAGATGCTTGCACTTTTCCTGGGCAGCAGTCATTCTAGGCTGAAAGGAAAAATGAACCTGTGTGGAAACTGATAATGTGACAGGGCAGCAAGCTGCCTGCCTAATTGTGATCCCAAGAAGACTCTGATGCTGTGCCACAGGAGTGTTTCCTAGTAAGCAAAATGGGAATAGAGGAGACTACCTTAGAGGGCTGGGCCTCCTTCATCTCTAAGTGACCATCCAGCATAGCCTTATCCAGAAGTGGCATATTTGTGTTGTCCATCCAGCAAAGATCATAAACACACAATGGAGGTCAGAGGTCAGCAAAGGAGGTAGAAAATTGTATAATATTAGAAACCAAAAGAATCTCCATAAAGTCCTTGACAAACTAATGATCTCTTTCGGCCCTGTAACTTTGCTGTTTTTTGTCATTTTATCTTTGCCAAATCATGCTTGTATTATTCATTTTTTATATCTTATTGGTGTTAAGATCCACAAATTTTTGTACATCATAATCAGAATTTCACCTTGGCCAAAATCATCTATATTTGAAATATCACAAAGGTCCAGGCCACTGGTATCGGTTTCTTTCCTGTTTTTTCTGGGTTTCTGCCCAGCAGAAATGGGCTCCCATCACAAGTTTTGACCTGGCTTCCACTCTTCACGTCACAATCCATAGGCCCATATCAGTGGGGTACCCCTTAGGGGTTTTCCCTTTGGAGCTTCCGACAACTAGGACCTCGCAAAAAATAGAAACCGCCAACTTAAGCCCTTCCCAAATCATGCTTGCAGGGCAAAAGTCTTGGAAATGTCCAAATTGTAAAAAATTTTCAAAGGCCCTTCTAGTAAATGGGAGAAAAAAAGAATAAAACCAAAAAAAGGGAGTGGGTTAAAAAGGAAATTCAACCTGTTCCCAATCCCATCCCCCCATCCTTCCTACAACAAGGGGAAATTAAAGTTCCTAGGGACTATGATCATTGTAAAATTCCCAAAAATTCACTGGCCCCTTTTCCCAAGGCAGTTTTTTCTGAAAATAGAAGAATAAAAAAAGAAAAAAAAAAGAAAAAAAAATTCCACTGCCCCCCTTTACCATTGCCTGCTCCCCTTCCTTCAGTTAACTCCAGTTTTTCCATCTGTAAGGCCCAACAGATAAATTAGTGGGCAAGTAAGCCTTTAATTTTTGGCCCCCCCTTCTAGATGGCTTAGAAAAAGTTACAAGCAGTAAAAGTGGGCCAAAGAAATTCCGGCCCCTTATGTGGGAGAAATGCTGGGAACCTCACAAAAGTGAATGAATGTTGAATCAACACCCAGCCTCAAGTTTACACTGTGTGGCCCTTTGTTTTCCTGTTGGGGCCTTCCGAAAGGGCCTAAGTTACTTCCCTCAACCCTCATGAAATGCATTAGGGGCCCTCTTTTTATCTTTAGCTTCTGTCCAGCTTGGGGTTTTCCTTTGGACATTCTTGCCTGCCTCCCCAACCTTACAAAAAAATGGTGAATTATTCTTTACTAAATCTGCCAAGGAAAGAACAGGAAAACATTCCCAGCCCTGGTTCTTGAAAAGAATTTTTCCCTTATTTCTTCTTCCCAATTTGAAACCAAAAAACAGAACATTGGTTAGGGTTTTTTAAACATTTATTGTTGAGGTGGGGGAAATGAAAAAGCCAAATTTTTCACAAGTACTTTATTTTGTTCAAGTTTTGTTTATTAGCCAAGAGAACTTAAGAAATCCTCTGGTCCCCCTTGTTTGACCTATTTGGTCTATTCCCACTTTTGGAGGGAAGCCCAGCCCTTAACTCCCTCTTTGCCCCCCCCTTTAAAACTTCCCTTCTGTGGGTTACCTCCCCGTTCTGAATTTTCCCATCAGACACATGGCCCCCAGCCCCTTAGCTTGGAGTTTTCCCCAAGAATAAGTTAAAAATGAAGGGAAAATAAAAAAAGCCCAGAAAATTCCCCTATCCAAGGAAGGTTTGAAAGGTTCCAAGCCTTTGGCCCCCATTGATCAGCCCCTGGTTTTTCTGGGAAAGCAATATGCCTGGCCCCTGTGGAAGCCCTTCCCCTCTTCTTCTTTTCTTCTGGGAAAGACAATGGCCAAGGGGGAGGGCCTTGGGCCAAATGGCCCCTGACACACCTTTTTAAATTTGAATAAAGTCCTGGGTTTTAGGCCAGTGGCCCCTGGCAAGAAGATTGTCAACCAGTGGGTTTCAAAAAAAAGAACTTTTCCCTCCCAGCCACCCACTTCAAATGACCCAGCCTATGGAAGTAGGCCAAAAGAGGCCAGCAAGGAGGATGGTGGCTTGTTTTTTGCAAAGAAGGAACCCCCCTTCCAAGTTTTACCAAAAGAAAAAAAAAATACCCTGAAAAATCTAAAAAACCCAAAAACCAAATATGGTGATTAAATAAAAAGTTTTTTTTTAAGAATTAAGTAGGAAAGATGCTGCTGAAAACACGTTTTTTTTGCCAAGGAATTGCTTTTGCCAGGGGGGTTATTTAATGTATAAAACAGTTTACTGAATAACCTAACCTGTGCACTAAGAAAAATGGTTTTAGACTGTTTTTCCTCCCAGCCCTGGAACCAAAAATGGTTCCCCTTTCCAAAATCCACACACCTTGAATCCATCCAATATTTTTAAAATTAATTTTTGTGGCACCCCATAGCAAATCATTTTTCCTTGGCACATAACCGTACTGACTTCTTCAAGTCCAACCCTCCCCACGCAGTTTCCCATACACCACCTTTTTTTTTCAAGCTTTTTTTACTTTTTCTGTTCTTGGCTATTGTTTGGCCGTTTGTTTTTTTGGCTTGGTTTTTTAAGCGTGAAGATAACAAGTTTGTAACACAATGGAAATAGGTTCCCCAACACAGGCCCTTAAAATGGATCCCTTACCATTAAAAAAAAATCCCATCTCTAGCCAGAGGGTTTAAGGCCCCTAACACATTTCCAGATGGTTAAAAACAGGATGCGCTTGCCCCACTTTTCCCTGGGGCCAGCAGTCCATTCCTTAGGCTTGAAAGGGAAATGGGACCTTGGTGGTGGAACTGATAATGTTGAACAGGGCAAAAAGCAAGCCCTTTGCTCCTGCCCACTAATTGGTGGATCCCCCCCCAAGAAAGACTCTGATGCTTGTTCCCAAAGGAAAGTGTTTTTTTTTTTCCCCTAAAGCGAATGGGAAAATAAATAGAAGACCCTAAAATTTGCCCCCTTGAAATTTAACACTTGGAAAAACCAATACATTAAATTTGCCCTTCCCACCTTCCTTTTCTACAGGTCAACCCTGAAATGGGGACCCATTTCCCAAGGACTTCTTAAAAAGCATGGATTTTTCCCAAAATCCCAAACCCTTGCCCTCTTCCCTGGGAAAGGCCTAATTCCACCCCAGGGCCTTGCCATACCAAATGGCAATTTTCCTTTGTTTTTTTCATCTGTCCCTCTCCTCTTTGAACCCTTTCAATTTTCCTTTAGGACCCAAGGGGACCTGAAGTTGGCTTATGCCCCCCTCATGCCCTTGCCCCAAAGGGGCCTGGGTTACAGAGGAGGTTCCAAGATGGTTTTTTTTTATGAATTGAAGTAGCTTACTGACTCCCCATGGTGGAGGTTGGGAAGCTTTACAGCCAAGGCCCACCAGTGGTTATGCCTTTTTTCCAATTGTTTTGGTGGGAAAACAGAAACAAAGAAAACTGGTGGGCCCCGTGGGCCAATGAAAACCTTGAGGAGGCTGGGAGGGCCTTTCCCAGCAGAAGGGATGCCCTTCCCCCAGCGAGGTTTTTTCCACAGCCGTTCGCCCATCAGAACCCCACCATCCTGACGATGCCAAATCCCTAC